TCTCTCTCATTACACTCATTCTGCCACTGTGACAGAATTGTGTATTTAATCAGCCTGGTTACCTCCCCAGAAAGTTGACGTTCCTTAACCGCATGCTTCTTCATACACGGGAAAAGAAATACAATTACTTTCCAGACTGATAATTACAAAGCCACAAAATCAGCAAAGGATATTGAGAGATACGTGGTATTTTTTCCAGAACAGTTTTTAAGCAGGCAGTATTTCCAGCTGATGGTCTCCCTTAGTGATTTTTCAAACCATCACATCTATAAAACTGCCATTACTTCATCAGTTTAATACCACTTTAAAAAAATGGGGAGGAATTGTTTACAGTGAAGCATACATGTAATCAACTTTATATTCACTGACTTATTTTTCCTATTACCATCATTAATTTTTTAAATTCGTGGTTCAAGGCTAGATGGAGCACAGCCATTTTCAATGTAATTAAGCAGCTGTAATATTACAATCAAGAGTACTGCATCTGAACCGTTTATTCTGAGGTGGCCCTTAGGTATTCCAGTCGTGGGCCAGGCTGCACAGAACTGTCAGGTGTCAGCCATGCTTCAGCCTGTGTCTAAAAGTCAGACTGCCAAACCAACAGCACATAAAAAAAGGCACTTGTAGCATTTCTCTCTGGGTACCTGGACTCCATGGCCTGAACCACTTGTTAAATCTGAGTTAGCTGAAAGGGATTTGCAGAGTAAATCCACAGCAAGGCTTAAATACCCAGACTCAGGGTCACAGAAAGGTGCTTTAACAATACTGCTAATATGCTTGGAATAGCTCTTCAAAGACACATCTTACCTTCAAGAAACACTTCCTAAAGCATCTGCTGATAAAGTTTTTACATTTGACAGCAAAAAAGCTATACTGCGTTTAAGTGCTTGAAGGTTTGTTTACAGTCAACTCACTTTTATCCAGAACCTTCAGTGGGTTAGAGATGTCTTCCACAGTATTTTGTAGTGCCTTCATCTTCTTTTCACAGGGCTCATTGTTTTCAGTTGGTGTCCTCCTTTTTGTGCCACATTCAGAAGTCTGCAACAGAAATCAAACAAAAGAGTTCAGTTACTTTTTACTTGTTGCCATTCTCTATGAATGAAAATAATGAATTTGAGGACTTCATACAGAATAAGACAAAAGGCAAATCTAATTTATAACATATAAAATTCTTAACTATTTTAAGTATCTACTTATTCATTTATAAAATAGTTCTAACATTCAAGGTTACAACAAGAAGAGAAATGAGTGCATTCTGTAAACAAATTGGTCGTTGTGCTAGGAAAAAAAAAGCACTTGCAACTGCCATGGCTTCAAAGGGCAACTTAGAACCACCTCTGGGCCAGAAAACAGAGCCAGCACTTAACTAACTTGCCTCTCAGCCCACACCACCATACTGTGACTGAACCAGATCTCTTTCCATCCTTGCAAATCCGGATTTCCACAATTCAGACCCTTCTTCTTGCCTGGAGCTGGCTACTCACCTTCAAGAGGCAGTGCTTCCAAAGGCCTCCATCCAGATGATGGAAAAATGCCTTCACTACAACAACTTGGAAGTGTTAATTCCAGATTTAAAATATTATTTTCCTAAACTATGTGTTTATATAGCATCTTCCTAGGTTTGTATAAAATACTTTCAGCTACTGCTCTTCAAAAGGCTTTAGACACGCACTTACTTTTAACTCTCTGAAAATAGATCAATTTAAGTTGTTCTAGCATTGAGGCACTCTGACCGACAGATAGAACACAAGCAGTATGCCCAAATAAAAAGTAACTTGCAACTGCAACAACATATACACACTATCATTTCACTTAGAAGAAATGCAAACAACAGACACTTTCAACAGTTAGCCTTCACATTTCATATGTTAATTTTAAGTATATTATTGAGGAAATTCAAACGTCTTAGCACTAACTAGGACCTCCAGCGCCTCAGCAACTGAGCCTGAAACCACCACATAACATACTATATGCACAGTCCACTTGAGTGGCCAAGAAGCTTCCCTTTCTTTGTACTGCTTTCTCATTTCACTTACAATTATCTAAACAACAACAAAAAAATCTAAAATGTCTATGTCAAGAGCACAAAATCAAGATCTGCAAGGTGAGAAAAGGAACCAGAGAGATTGGTGTGAACTTGGATTCCATTTTTTGGTATAAAATCAAGGTCATTCATTTAAAATTCATCATTCACTCATTCTTTCCATTGGTGCAAGTCTGATTTCAAAAACTCTTTAGTAACAAAGAGTTCTTTGTTTCTTCAAAAGCTAAGGAGGCAAGTCCACCACATTAAACCACTAGGCTAACATTAACTAGGAAGAAAGCTTTCTACATGGACATAAAGTGACAATCACATCATTCAAAATATATTAGGACAAAAAAAATACCAAAAAAGATCGACTGGAGGCAGAGGTGAAAAAAGCCTATACCTTTCCAGTGCCAGAAAAGCCTGAGGACATGAACTACAAGGAGAGCCAGCATATAAACACAGAGCAAAATCCAACTGTTCAAAGCCAGAACACTCTTCCGAACAGTGACGCGGATTACAGCAAGCTAGATCACAGCAGGCTGGAGTCCTGGCCTGCTGCATTATGGCTAAGGGTTGTCAACGATCCATAATCCGTGCCACAGATTAAATAAGTCTCATGCCAGAAGACAAAATTTCTGCCAGAAGGTCTAAAATACTGCAGAAGAGACAGCACCAGCATACCAGTTTTGCCAAGACCACGATATCTCTGCCAAGCTTTGGTTTCTATAGTGACTCCAGCCAAAAAAATGGCCATTTCGTGGCAGTTTCTCAGAAGACTGGGTATGGCTACCTTCCGTTATACAAAGCGAAGATGCCAAAGCTGGCTCACGCGGTGCTGAGGCAAGCATGGGTGCTGCCCGGCCAGGACGCCCCATCTGTTGGCGTTAGTCATGCGGCGTCAGGGTGCCCGGGCCGTGCTCCCCAGCACCCCCACCTCAGGCTCGGCACCAGCGAAGCCAGCGCAGAGCCACCCGCCGGCACCACGAAGCCCCCGGCAGGGCGGCAGCGGCCGGCCCCGGCCCCCCCGCCGCCGCA